CACAGGTCCCTTACAGGGATAGGAACTAGACGATTCATGGTGAGAAATCTAGTTCCTATCTGGCAAAAGGACCTTTATACCTTCAGCTAACAATGGTCCCTTACAGGGATAGGAACTAGATGGTTCACTGTGAGAAATCTAGTTCCTATTCAGAAAAAGGACCTTTATAGCTCCAGCTCACACAGGTCCCTTACATGGATAGTAATACGTTTTTCCTATACTCAGGGCCGGATTAACATAGGGGCTGATCGAGCTGCAGCTCCAGGCCCATGGAATAGGCCCATTGTAAAAAAAAAAAATAATATATATTTTTTTTTTGTAACTTTTTTTTTTTTTTACAGACTACTCTTAGGTTTGCCACCTGACTGATATTTTAAGGCACAGCTGGTATTGGAGGCTGTCTCGCCATGACGGTTTTGCAGTAATACCGGCAATACAAATATTTGTCTCCGTATAAATGGAGATTACTCTGCAATACCAGCACCGGCCAGTAGGGGTCACTGTGTATGGAGAGAGGCAGGGATAGCAAGTTACAGCATCTTCCAGCCTCTCTCTACTCACTGATCCGCGGGTGAGCAGCTTCACAGCACAGAGAGTCCAGACAGCAGCTCCCAGCCTGCAGAGACAGACTACAGCTCAGATATGTGAAGGATGGGGGGAAAGGCAGCAGGGAGACATGGGGACACTGAGACACTAGGCGACACTGGCAGATGTGGGGACACTGAGACACGTGGGGACACAGAACCATGGGGACGCTGTGAGACATAGGGAGACACATTGGGACACGGAGACACTAGGGACACAGTGTCTCCATGTCTCCAAGCCAGTGTCCCCATGGCTCTGGGTGTCCCCTGGTCTCCAAGTATCTGTGACACCATGTCTCTGTGTCCCCATGTCTCTCAGTGTCCCCATGACTCCCAGCCAGTGTCCCCATGTCTCCCAGTGTCCCTATGTCTCCCAGCCAGTGTCCCTAGTGTCTCAGTGTCCCCATGTCTCTGTGTCCTTAGTGTCCCCATGTCTCCCAGTGTCCCCATGTCTCCGTCCACAAGTGCCCCATGTCTCCCAGTGTCCCCAAGTGTCTGTGTCCCCATGCCTCCCAGCCAGTGTCCTTAGTATCTGTGTCCCTATGTCTCTCAGTTTCCCTACTGTCTTAGTTTCCCCAAATGTCTGTATCCCTATGGCTCCCAGTGTCCCCTAGTCTCCCAGTATCTGTGTCCCCATGTATCTCAATGTCCCCATGTCTCCAGTGTCCCCATGACTCCAAGCTAGTGTCTCAGTGTCCCCATGTCTCCCTGTGTCCCTATGTCTCCCAGTGTCCCTAGTGTCTGTGTCCCCATGTCTCCCAGTGTCTGTGTCCCCATGTCTCTGTGTCCTTAGTGTCCCCAAATGTCTGTGTCCCCATGTCTCCCAGTGTCCCCAAGTATCTGTGTCCCCATGCCTCCCAGCCAGTGTCCCTAGTGTCTGTGTCCCCATGTCTCCCAGTGTCCCCATGTCTCTATTCACAAGTGCCCCCATGTTTTCTAGTGCCCCATGCCTCCCAGTGTCCCCGGGTCACTCAGTGTCCCCATTTCTCTCAGTGTCCCCTAGTATCCTAGTGACACGGGATACACTGAGTCATGGGGACACTGGGAGAAATGGGGACACAGACACTGGGAAACTAGGGGACATTGACACTGTGGTACATAGGGACACTGATGTCAGGCTGGCCTTCCAATTATTTGGACAGACATGCCCCCTTTTTGGGCATGTTTGCCCCTTTTGGCAGTACTGGTCATATGATTCGCGTCAGTGGCGCATCCTTTTACCCCGCCCATGGACACTGCTGTTATGGGGTATGGATTTACTTGAAAGATGAAAGCATTAATTAGATAAATAGATTAGCATAGAATATGTGTTTTCTTATAGCTGCATCCTTTGAGTTTCCCTCCAGCACCAACTCCATCAGATACATGACTCTTGAGAGATATGACTGTTTCAGTGTTTTTGGTCGATAAGATTCTGTAGTTAGGTCCCATCATAATTGTCAGCACCAGGCCCACTGGGCTCTTAATCTGGCCCTGCCTATACTGCTAAGGGACCTCTATACCTTCAGCTAACAAAGCTAAAGCTACAAAGATAAAATTCTAACTGCACATAAAAGGAAGTCTACATTGGTTACTCCCTACACCTAACCGAATCTCACTCTCCCACCCTGTGAGCACATAACTCAGTGCTGTGATTAAAAATAGAGTTATGTGCTCACAGGGTGGGAGAGTGAGATTCGGTTAGGTGTAGGGAGTAACCAATGTAGACTTCCTTTTATGTGCAGTTAAAATTTTATCTTTGTAGCTTTAGCTTCACTATACTGAGACTTTGCTGCGTTCTACAAGGCTTTTTATTGCTAGGATTTTCAGCAATAGATTAACTTATGGCTCTTTTGATAGGCTTTTGTTGGTGTCAACCTGCCTAATTAAGCTACGCTTAGCCACAGTTGCTTTTTTGCACAAATACAAACTGAACCATTTTTGTCCAGTACACTGTTGCAATCCAGCCTACACATTAGTGTGTTTACTGTTCATTGTAACAAGGGCTCCCCACTGTATTTTTTACCTACAAGATGAGCAATCCTGTTTTTTGATTGCAACAATTCTCCATGGAGATTTCCTCTTGTTTGTTATCAGTCTTCATTGGGTTATACATAGTGGAGCTATTTCATTACTCTAGAATTATCCTTTTTTTTCTTGATATTACGTATACTCAGGGTTATATACCAAGAGAGTTACTGCTATATTACTCTTATTATTTACAAATCATATATATCCTTCTACCTTTACTTGGATTCCCTGAGTCTATAGAGATTTCATATCACTACTATACTGCCTCTAGTCCGAATCCCCTCCTGTGTGTTTTAGTTTTGAAGTGCTGTTTTTGTAAGTTTCCTTTTTTGAGGGATTTTTTCTACCCTATAATAAAGCATTTTTATTTCTAGCATTTTTTAAGTGCAGACCCTTAGATCCCTTCTTTCGGGTGCTCCCATAGCCTTTGTGCATTTGGGATCATCCATTTCGTTTCTTTGTTCTAAGACCCTAACGCTACACCCTCCTATTCTAAGAACACCCTGCCTAGTAATAGCCCCCTAGATAAACTTAGAATCAATTTGTTGCATAAATACAAAAAGAGAAGTCCTGCGCTCACTCCCATCACTACTGGGCCGGCAGCAATGACTACAGTACACATCAGCCCCAATATATAGTAAAAACCAAAGAAAAGAAAAAGTTACCTGCGTTCTCTCCTTAATCCCTATGTATATTTAGACAAATGGAGGTCATATAGTTGCTCCAATGGCCATTGGAAGAATGCCCGCCTGCCAACGTCAAGGCAGACCCCCCTAAGTGGGTCCTAACACTGACCCTTCAGCCTGCTTCCTTGAGCTTCTGGCAAAGATATCTCTAGTGAGAAAGACAGGGGTATTTTTTTTATATACACCCCTATATACTTATTAACTCTTAATAGGGAACACATGGGATGGGCGGCAGCATTGTAACAAGGCTGTGTGATCCAAAGTAAATACAAAAAAAGAAGTCCTGCGCTCACTCCCATCACTACTGGGCCGGCAGCAATGACAACAGTACACATCATCCCCAATATATAGTAAAACCAAAGAAAAGGTTAGTAAGAATGTATTCTGCTTGAAAAAGCAGCAATAGGAATCCAGGAGCTTCTAGATGAACGTCAAAAATAATATATATAATATACTCAGATAAATAAATGAAATGTGTGGCAAGGTTATCAGTCCAAAAAGATAAAACTCATCGGTAGAGATAACCACTGCCTAATGATTTACTTCCATACACAGTAAAGGTATAAAAGATAAATTGGCATAATCCTCTTAGGATATATATATATATATTGCCAACATACATATAATGATAAATAATATAAATAGTGAGCAAGCAACAGTATATGGAACTGGCTGCTAGAAAAAGTAATGAGAAAAATTATATAGCCGGAGAGTAGCTAAAAAGGGTAAAACCCAATTTTATTAAAAGTACAAAAATATATTAAAATGGTAATAAAATTATAATAAATTTTAAAACATAATTTTATTACCATTTTAATATATTTTTGTACTTTTAATAAAATTGGGTTTTACCCTTTTTAGCTACTCTCCGGCTATATAATTTTTCTCATTACTTTTTCTAGCAGCCAGTTCCATCAATTTGTTGCATAAATACAAAAAGAGAAGTCCTGCGCTCACTCCCATCACTACTGGGCCGGCAGCAATGACTACAGTACACATCAGCCCCAATATATAGTAAAAACCAAACAAAAGAAAAAGTTACCTGCGTTCTCTCCTTAATCCCTATGTATATTTAGACAAATGGAGGTCATACAAAGGGAGCTGCGGGGGGGCAAAGAGACACACTTGGGGGGACAAAGACACACAAGGGCAAAGAGACAAACTTGGGGGGACAGACACACAGAGAGGCTAAGGGGAGCAAAGAGGCACACACAAGGGCTGGGGTGTCAGACACAGAAGGGCTTAGAGAGACAAAGACACAAATACAGAAGCTTGGAATAAAAAGACACACAGAGGGGCAAAGAGATACAGGGCTGAGAGGGACAGAGAGACACACAAAGGTGGCGCTTTTAGTTTTTTGGGGGTGGTGCAAGTATCTGGTCTTGTCTAGGGTGCAAAATAGTCTAGCACCAGCCCTGCCTCAGTGTGAGTGTCTCCCACAGACCACATTACTGTTTTATTTAGGGGCACTCATGCTGTGTAATATTCTCCCTTTTCAGTCTGTGTACTATTCTCCATGCTCCCTGTAGCTCTCACGTAGGTGTCACCAGGGTCCTCCTACTGGATGGGAACTAGCCGCTCCCAAAATTACAGCGTGGGCGAATAGGAGCTCATTGAACTATTCTAGAACACCTGTCTACCCAATAGCAACAGTTAGAGGCGGAGGGAAGCATCTTTGGACTTCCAGTAAGAGATAGAATGATACAGTGTATCGGGCAATATGGGAACGCTGTGTACCTGGCTGCTGATTTCCACATTGATCTCCCCGGCTCTGCAGTCCCACTCTGCACCCGATCCGGCTCTGCAGTCCCACTCTGCACCCAATCCGGCTCTGCAGTCCCACTCTGCACCCAATCCGGCTCTGCAGTCCCACTCTGCACCCGATCCGGCTCTGCAGTCCCACTCTATACCCGATCCGGTTCTGCAGTCCCACTCTATACCCGATCCGGTTCTGCAGTCCCCCTTGGCACCCGATCCGGTTCTGCAGTCCCACTCTATACCCGATCCGGTTCTGCAGTCCCCCTTGGCACCCGATCCGGTTCTGCAGTCCCACTCTATACCCGATCCGGTTCTGCAGTCCCACTCTATACCCGATCCGGTTCTGCAGTCCCCCTTGGCACCCGATCCGGTTCTGCAGTCCCCCTTGGCACCCGATCCGGTTCAGCCTCCCAGTGAATGGAAGCTCAGCTATAGTGAGTCTCTTCTCTGCGGCAGTTCTAATGCTATGCTGGGATGCTCCCTTATTTAGGGAAGAATCCAATGCTAGTAATTAACTGTCCAGTTAGATATAATGCCTAGTTATACAAGGCCTGTGCCAGAGGGCAGCGTGATGAGCAAAATGGGGTTATGAAACTTCCCCATATAGCTATCATGTTAACATTGGGAGAGGGAAGAGAGGGGAGAGAAGGGGAGAGAGGGAGATTTTACTTTTTTTGCCTTTATACACACATAGCAGAGCACCGTGTGGACTAAACAAATTATTGATGTATAGTTTAATACTGAAATGTTTGTAGATCCTTCATCTCTTGCAAGACACCTGATGTCTGGATTAATTGTATGTTTTTGATATTTTCATTCAGTTCCCATCATTGTCACCATCACACCAATCCCGGAGAATAAGACCCATAATGATTTATGTTTTGACGTTTCGCTACCAGAAAGCATTGAAGTCCATTTGAATGGTTCTATAGCAATGGCTGTAAAATTTCTGCAAAGGAATGTGCATCAAGTTTCTATCAATAATTTAGTACTGCCAGATAAGTCGGCTATCAGGTGTGTGCCTGTGCTTAAAGAGGAAAGTCTGGAAACATGCTGGGCCTACAGAACAAATGAATATGGAGAAAAAATTAATACAAGTTGCACCATAAACCGTAAGTTTTAATTCTTATTTTTTTATAATATCCTTTTAATGGTACAGCTTCAGAACCTTGTCTTGCACTTAAAGGGACATGCATCACTTTGATATGTGCACTGCAGGGGTTATTTCTAACACAGAAATAAAACAGAACAACCAGAACCCCGCAGTGCACATGTGTACATGGTCGATTGAACATGTGCTGTCTCATTCAGAGAAGGCAAGCCGAAGCTTTAAGATTCCCCAGTTTTTTATTTTAGCCTCTATCAGCCCCCCCCCCCTTTCCCTCCCAATTGCAGCTACTATACATCAAGCCAAAAGAACTAATTTGGATTTGCCTTTCCTAAATGGACACAACTACAATAATAGGGTGCTGGAAAAATAGTGATAGATCTCTCTAAAACGTCAGCCTTGCCATGGACTTATTTTTCTGCCCGCCCAGGAACATGACCAATTCAAGCATGCTCAGGGAACTAAATCACTGAGACAAAATGTTGTTTAGAGCTTACTCCTACCCGTTTAAAGGGATGCTTTAGTGCCAGGAATGCAAAGCTGTATTTACTTACATGATCCCAGCGCCAATGTTACTCGGCGTGAGGACGTCTAGCGTCAGATACTGGACCAAACGTCTTTTTAAATGCAGGAAGTGCCTCAGGGTGCACCTGGATGCAGACTTAGTTTCTCTGGAACTGCAATGTTTAACCCCTTCCCGACGCAAAACGAACATTCTCTGTCATGCTTGTCCTAATGTACTAAAGTTAACCCCAGACCACTTAACGCTCATCCAATCTACCTCGTTATCCGAGGCAGACAGGGAGCACCTGATAGCGCTGTCCCTGCAGCTGTGATTGCTCCCTGTGCTTCCGTGTTCAATGTGAACTGTAGGGAGATGGAACAGCGCTGTTCTTCCTGTGAAAAAAAAAGTTATTAAAGTTAAATTCCCTCCCCCCCCCTTTACCCACTTTAAATAAAAATTAACCCCTTCCCTGTCATTTTAACACCGACCACAGTAATACTGTGATCTATTATTTTTTAACCCCTGGGGGTTAACTTTTTTTTTTAACCCTAAGGATTTAAATTTATTTATTTTCTTTAAATATTTTAAACGTATATATTTTGCTGGGGTTGGTGGGAGTTAGTGGGGAATTAGGGAATTTTAAAGCTAAAGTTAGGCTAGCTAGGGGTTAACAGTAAAAGAAAATGTATTAAAAAGTTTTTTGTTTTTTTAAATGTTGTATTTATGTTTAAAAAAAAATCCCACCCATGTTTACCCAGTCCTAATAAATATTAACCCCTTCCCTGCCAGTTGATTACTGCCTACAGTGATCAAAATATAGATCACAGTATTATACTGTGATCAATTATTTTAATAACCCCTGAGGGTTAACTTTTATTTAATTTTTTTTATCCCTTAGTGGGAAATTGGGGAATTTACTGTTAGGGTAGTTAGGGTTTAAAAGTGTAAAATAGTTTTAAAGGACCACTTTTTGTGTCCTGATGAAAGCTCCTGTGAGGAGCTGAAACGTCGATACTTTTTCTTCGCAATAAATGAAGATTTTTTCGTGGTGAAAATCCTTGATTGCCGGTATTTCTCTTGTTTTATTTATATATATATATATATATATATATATATATATATATATGTCCTGTCATTATATCCTTCCTTTTGGTTCTCAGACATTTGTCACACAATCAGAGTTTGCAGGAATCTATGATCTGCAAACTTTCTTTGTCTTAGGGATGAGCATAACCACCTAGCAAAGCTAGTGGGTATGCGGCAGCCTCCCGGAGTCAAATGCCAGAGCTGAAAAGGCTCGCGCTGTGCATCTGCACAGCAACAGCCTTTCAGCCAATCAGGTAATCAGGAGAGCCGTGCTGAGCGCGGGAATCCTGATTACCTCAGATTTTTTAAAATTGGGAAACTGCGGATGGTTAGCACATCCCATGAAATACTAAGGATAAATATTTCCCACAGTGTACAGGAATATAATTAAACTTCTAAACACAAAATAAAATAATTCAAGATGCCAATAGTACAGGGGAACAAGAAAATATTTAATAAGTCATGGAGACATACAAGATAGACTTGAAACTTTGTATAAAACAGCTGAACTGAAAAACAAGGCAACAATGTGTGCCAAAGGAAAGTATCCAAAGACCACTGGAAACATTCAACGTAAGTTGCAACAAAATAAGTTCAATAAAAGAGACAAGAAATGTTGAAACAAGTCCCAGCAGACATAATCTTTATGCAGGGAGTCCATGAGAATATTAAACCGACGAGACTACTTGCATCCAATCCTTCTACTTAGGTGGATCCTTGGTTTGTTGGTCTTGTCTTGGAGTACGGCTATAGTCTGTAAAAAACAAAACAGAGAACAGTTATCAAAAGGTTGAATAATCACCAGATAACCTTATGTTTTAGAAAAACCAACTACCACCAGCAGGCAAAACCCTTAACTAGGAGGAGGGTGGGACGGGCGCTATTGCTAGGTGGTTATGCTCATCCCTAAGACAAAGAAAGTTTGCAGATCATAGATTCCTGCAAACTCTGATTTGTCCTCCGGGAGGCATAACCACCTAGCAAAGCTAGTGGGTAGAATAGCACACACCTGGTGGTGGTCCTAAGAAACTGAAGGCGTTCAACTTCTGATGGCCTCCAGTAAAATCTAACAAAGGTTTTACTGGACAACCATCTTGCAGCTTTTAAGATAGTAGCTAGAGGAAGGCCCTTTCCTGCTGCTTTAGTAGCCGAGGCTCCCCTAATTGAATGGCTTTTGAACACTGAAACATCAATTCCAGCCGTAGACATGGCGGAAAGTATCCAGCCTCTAATTGTATTAACCTTGGCTGGACGAAAGGGATTCCTTGATGTAATGAATAATTGACTGATATCGTTTCTAAATCCAGCAGAAAGTTGAAGGTACGATTGTAACAAACTGACTAAACATAAGCCTGGTTCGGAAGAATCTTGGACCAAGTCCAATTCTACCGGACCAGGAGAAAAATGGGATGTTTTTTGTCTGCCTTTTAGTATAATATGGAAACCTCCCGGGGTCCTGGACAACCAAGGTTCTGAAATATGGATCTGAGTTAACTCTGCTCCTCTAGCTGCCAGGGCCAAGGACAGCAGAGAAGCCAGCTTAATAGCAGTCCATCTTAAATCAATTTTAGCATTATCCAAAGACTTTAGGAAATTTAATAAGACATCTACATCCCAAGTAGATGTGTAGCGTGAGGTATATGGGCGGCAGACGGCTAACCCTTTTAGTAATCTCAAATACAGGGCATCCTGAGTAAGGTTGGGGATCAGGAAGTTTAAGGCAGATCCGTAGGTCTTGATTGAACTGACAGATAAACCAGAATGGAACTTAAGGGTAAGAAATTCTAACGCCAAAGGAATGGTATCAGATCCTTGTGTGTTAGACAGAAAAGAAACCTCCCATTCTTTGAATTCCTCGATCATCTTTCTATATCTTACCCTAGTTCTACGTCTTAAAGATGAGTTAATAATATCCAAGACCTGGTCCGATAAGTGGGGATGTGTTAACAGCCTACCAGGGCTGCGATCCACATCAGCTGCGGGAGCTTGAGCAGAAGATCGCTGGTTCCCTGAAAGCAGTCCACTGTCATGCCTAATGGGATCTTGGTTCCCTTGACTAACTGATGGATCAAGGGATACCAGGGTCTGGAGGTCCATACTGGGTAAACGAGAACTAAGCTCTGCACCCTGTCCCTGCGGATCTTCTCCAGCACTTTCATCAGTAAAGATGGAGGGGGGAAAGCATAAGGGGCTGGAACATCCGTCCATTGGAAAGACATTGCATCCATTTTCCAAGCTCCCTTTGTCCAGGTCCGGGAGACGAACCTGGGAGTTTGAGCGGATGTTTGGGATGCAAACAGATCTACCTGTCTCTGGCCAAAATTGCTTTCTATCTTTTGGAAAAGAGCAATCTTTAATTGGATCGTTGCCAGGGACAAACTTTGGCGAGAGAGAGAGTCTGCAAGCTCGTTCGCCTCTCCCGGAACATATTCTGCGAAAACCTGAACATTGCTTGCTAAGGCCCAGGACCAAAGATCTAGAGCCTCTAAGCAAAGACCCCTTGATCTTGTACCCCCTCTGTGGTTTATATAAGCCACCGCTGTCCTGTTGTCCGAATGGACTTTTACCAATGTCGGTGACTCGTTTAGAGGAACTAGGCCCTTGAGAGCTAATTTTATAGCTCGTAACTCCAAGATGTTTATATGGAGGTGACTCTCTTGGTCTGACCAGATTCCTCTTATGGCGTTTTGGGTTGTAAACGCACCCCAACCGTGACTTGAGGCATCTGACGTCAGAGTGACTGTCGCAGGCTGCTCTAACAGTGGACGAGGAAATAGAATTTCTAACTCCAGAATGGACTTCAATTCTTCTCTGACCTTCTTGGGGAGAACAAATTTTGATTCCCAATGGCCACCCTGTCTCAGTCGGTTCCCTAAAAACAGCTGACTTCTTCTGCAAAGTAAGGGGGAATTGTTGTATGCTGGTGTTAAAGCTATTAATTTCCCTATGATCTTTGCTAGGTCTCTCAAGGACCAACTCTGGTGCTTGAGAGATGAGTTCAGATGTACCAATAATTTGTCCCATTTGTCTTGAGGGATTCCAAGGGACATAGTCCTGGTGTTCAGTATGAAACCCAGAAAGAGGATGCTTTGAGTGGGAATTAGGACTGATTTCTGTAGATTTACTACGAATCCTAGGTCTTGTAAAAGGGAAGCAAGGTAATCCCTTTGAGAAGCAAGGGCTTCCCCATCTGGGTGCATGAGCAGGATGTCGTCTAGGTAGTATAGACACATGAAACCTTTTAGTCTGACATGAGCTATCACTGATTTCATAATTCTGGAGAATGTGTATGGTGCGTTGGAGAGGCCAAACACCATAACAGTCCACTGCCACACCTTTCCTTTCCACTGAAACCTGAGAAAACGCCTGTGTTTCTTGGCTATGGGGACTGAATGGAAGGCATCTTTTAGGTCTACTTTTATGTAGAAAAAGGCTTTCTGAACTAAGCCTGGAAGATCTGATAGACTCTCCATCCTGAACCTTTTCCTTTTGATGAAAGCGTTCAGAGGCCTCACATTTAGGACCGGTCTCCAGGAACCGTCTGACTTTGGGATTGGGAACAATGGGCTGACCCATCCTGTAATAGACATGTCTGCCAACTCTATTTTTCCTTGACTTAAAGCTAAGGAAAGGGAGGCATCTAGCACTGGGTTCACCTCTCTGTGGGGTGCAAATTTCTGGACTGGGAACCTTAACAGGGGGAGTTGTAAACCCCTTTGAAAGATCTTTAGAACCCATTTGTCTGAGGAAATATCCTTCCAATTTAGTGGCATATGAGGAGGCACACTTACTTGAATGCATGGGTTTCCTTTTGGAAGCTGAACCGCCTCTGGAATGCGCTCCTCTGCCGCCGCCTGGGAGCTTATGTCTTCCACTGTAGTGGCGGTACTGGGCCTGGTGAGAGGCTTCTAGGGACGCTCCTGCAGCCCTATAGGGGCGACCCTCCGTCCGAAAGGGCTTCTTGTAGCCAGGGACGGACTTCTTGAGTTCTGAAAAGGATCTCCTTGCCTTGTAACGGCCTTTAACCTCCTGAATGAACGAGGGACCGAATAGGTAAGAATCCTCCAAATTTGGGAACTCATGCGATTTGGGGGCTAGGTCGGACAGACCAGCTGCATGGAGCCAGCGGGATCTGCGGATGTTTGAAATGTAATTAAAGGATTGGCCAATAATTAGCACTGCCCTGCCAGACGCTTTTAAAAGGGCCATCTTAGATGCTAACAGGGATGAAGTGGAAGGTTTCTGAGCATTGCCTTCTTTTTCTGCTTTATCCAGCATCAGTAATAGTGGTCCCACAGCATCAGCAATTTTAAACTGTATATTGCGAAAAGTCTGGTCTGTGGGATCAGAGGATACGCTGCTCCCTGTGATGGATAACAGCGAAGGGTCTACCTCTGGGGCCATTAGAGCCTGAATGTCCGGGATACCGATGTGGTTCCTGAGGAGAAGGTCATCTTCCTTAACCAAGGGGGATCTGAAGGCTAGTTTAGCAAAATCTCTAACCTCGGAATCGTGCTCCATAGCCCATCTGGAGTGAAATAATTTTGATGGGAGAGTCTTTCCTAGGAGACTTACTCTGGCCATCTGAACATTGCTTAGCTTCCCTCGCTCAGTGGAAGCTGCTGAACGAACCACTTCCTCGGATTCCCAGTCTATTTCTGGAGAGAAGTATCTGGAACTGGGACGGCTTTGGGAAGAAGAGTGAGCGAACGCTCTAGAAGAGGAAGGAGAGGGACTATCTAACCTCCAACGAGATTTGCCCTTTTCCTCTGGGAGGTGTTTCTGGTGCTCAAACGAGGGAAACACGCTATTCCTTTTTTGAGGTCCTGTCCCCTTAAATTTTCGCTTACTCAAACGAGTATGAGGGGAAGGAGGAGCGGAGAAGTTTTCCTCAGACGAGGAACTGGCGGAAGAGACCAGCCGTCTTCCTTTATGCTTTTTATTTAAAACTGGGACCAAATCCTCCTCAGATGATGAAGAGGATAGATCCCTGGCAAGGAAAGCTCTCTTATGGAGCTTTCTAACATTGATGGGGCTGCCTTTAAGAGAGGCATCCACTAAATCTGTGGCAGACACAGAAATAGAGTCCTCCATCAATGATGCCATTTTAAAAAATCTGAGGTAATCAGGATTCCCGCGCTCAGCACGGCTCTCCTGATTACCTGATTGGCTGAAAGGCTGTTGCTGTGCAGATGCACAGCGCGAGCCTTTTCAGCTCTGGCATTTGACTCCGGGAGGCTGCCGCATACCCACTAGCTTTGCTAGGTGGTTATGCCTCCCGGAGGACAAATAGGTTAGTTGTCTGCACTATTTAATTAAACTCTCCCAAACTATAGCAATTATGCTTATTTTACATTTTACTTACTTTTTACTTTTCTTATTTTACTTTTCTAGGTCTCTTCTTGTTTTCAAGAATTCACAATTTGTGGTTTGCTAGGTACATTACTGTTCTACGTCCTTATTTTTCTTATCAAGCCATTGTTTAGGCTTAGAGAACTGGCTGTATAGGGTCAGGTACGGGGCTTAGTTTAACTTATAATAGTTGGTCCCGCGAGGCCAACTTGTCACCTCAAAGCAGAGGTTTCGCCCAATCAGCCCATATAATAGGTATAGCCTCGCATCACCCACCTTTTGTGTTTATAGTGAGGGCCTCACCTGTCATGGCCACACATTTTGAATATTTTAATGTCACCGTCACTCGGTGGCTCGAGCCCCACGGTTGAAATCATAGATAGAGCCTCTCCTCTGCTGCTTGGCAACTAGTAGGGCCTCACATGTCACGGGGTGGTTAGGTTTTTGCTTTGGCACTAGTTAGCAAGCTAGTTCTACAAACATGTGGGCGATATGTTAATCAGTTGATTTTTGTTTGTATCTTCTTTGCAGTAAATCCCAGGAAGCCAATCTAGGCAAAGAGTAATCCCCCTAGCCCTTTATTTACCCCATAGTGGCAGCAGCCTTTAAATGTTATATAGACATGGCAGCTTGCAAAATAATTAATAAGGGTCGGTCGTCATCCTTGACCATTTTGAGGTTAGTTGACTTCGTTAGCAGCCACCTACCAATTTTTTCCTGGTCTGTGAAAATGTACCAGGTTACAGGTTATCTCGTTGTAAATTACAGGAATTCTACCTACTACATCCATCTGCCAACACCTGCAGCCCGCAATTCCACAATCTAATTCTGGATTTACCTGATTATTGGCCTACGGCAGAACACTGTCACGAACGGCCGTATCCAACAATACGCTAAAAACCTATGACAGAGCTATGACCATTTTCAATAAGTTCTCAGCCAAATTTAATACTAACAACTTTTCTGTTCAAGCCATGGTAGCATTTGTCGTATTTGCCATCTTTACCTCAAACTATCTTACAATACCATCAAACCTTAACAGGTGTACAACATTTCATAATGACTACTGTAACGGATCACCTGGCACCCCGACTGGGTACCTCCGTTGATGGATGCTCCTAGCTCTTCTTGAGGGTTCCAAGCACTCTAGCCGACACCACAGCCACCGCGGGCTGAACCTCTCTTCCTTCAGAGCGAAGCAGGAACGAGCTCTTAAAAGAGCTTAGGAGTGAATATAGCAAGAGAGGATGCAGAGCATAGCGATCCCTTGTAGCAGATTCCCCCAATAAGAGACGGCACTCCAAATTGAGGGTGAAGTAGAACTGACTGTACTGGCACATACAGCCTCTTTTATTCACATTCTACAAACTTAGTACTGCCCACAGGGTTTTGAAATTCAACCAATCAATCCGTACAATACACACAGACACTCCCACAAAAAATCCTGCCCTCTGCCTGTGAAATGATTACTGAACACAATGGTTAATATAACTATCAAAGGCAGAGAAATACAGTATTATAAAACATATCACAGGGACCCCAAAACATGCAATAATCCCATAAAATATATCCTCGGAACCGGGGGATCTGGGTGAACTACATATCCAAAATTCACCCAGATTCGTTCAGTAGTTTGGAAGATACGGTTTAATGCAGATTCCGCAGACCATATACAGGCTAAATGAAAAATAATTACTGTTAAATGTGTCCCCTGTTCTGTAGTTTAAAACTACTGAACGATGTCTTTGTGCACCAAATACCGGCAAGATGGCACCGTGTAGAAAAGTCAAAACAGTGTCTGAGTTAAAATGGCCACCATCCATTGTTCTCACCATGTGCTTCATCCGTTGTTCTCACCATGTGCCTCTGATACATGAAATGGAGGCCACCCAGTAACTCCACAGTATGTCCCCAGATGGTTCTTAAAGGGCCAGCAGCAGCATAATAAAATACAAAATGCCCAAATCAGTTCCTAGAAGGGCCATCTCAGGGCCATAGTCGCAGGGCAGGAGGCTGGCAAACAGGCCCCTCCAAAAACCAGTGGCGAGGTCACTTTCGCCACAACTACTATGCCAAATCACAACCCTTACTTATTCTCATTCCTATCAAAAAACATCCTAAAAGGCATCAATAAACTAGATCATCCCACTACCCAGAAACAGTTACCGATAGATGGGGAGAAATTTCAAGCCCTATTAAATATACTGGACACCCAACCATTTGACCCTCTCACAAATATGGTCCTCAAAACTGCCATTTATATTGCCTTCCACATTTTTTTAAGACCTAGAGAATTCACAGTGGTAGTACAAACAGACAGCCATCTGTGTCTCACCATCAAAGACATAAAGAAAGTAAATGTTCATTCTATTCTATTGTTAAAATATTCCAAATCCAATCAGGCCAGCCATCCTCCAGAAGTCCCTTTGTACCCTACCGAGAATAACTGGTGACCTCTTAAAGTCCTGGACACCTATCTACACAACATCAGAGACAAATCATCAGATTCACCACTACTTACACTACTAGGTGGGCCTCTCACCACTTCAAAAATCATTTTTTATGTCAGAACGCTATGCATTAGGTTAGGTCTTAATCCAGCCTCATACTCCGGCCACTCATTTAGAATCGGAGCTGCTTCATCTGCATCCAGCACCAACACACCTGATCATATAATTAAAAGATTAGGTCATTGGAAATCCACTGTTTCCAATAGGTATATTACAACCAGAGAAAGAATTAAGGAAAGCATCTAAGAATTGTATTGTAATACTTAAAGGACCACTACAGTACCAGGAAACATACTCGTTTTCCTGGCACTATAGTGCCCTGAGGGTGCCCCCACCCTCAGGTACCCCCTCCCGCCCGGCTCTGGAAGGGGGAAAAACTTACCTTTTTCCAGCGCTGGGCGGGGAGCTCTCCTCCTCCGATCCTCCTCCGTTCCTCCCCGTCGGCTGAATGCGCACGCGCGGCAAGAGCTGCGCGCGCATTCAGCCGGTCGCATAGGAAAGCATTCACAATGCTTTCCTATGGACGCTGGCGTGGTCTCACTGTGAAAATCACAGTGAGAAGCACGCAAGCGCCTCTAGCGGCTGTCAATGAGACAGCTGCTAGAGGCTTTGGGGGAAGGCTTAACCCCCGTTTCTCTGAAACTGCTATGTTTATAAAAGAATGGGTTAATCCTAGCTGGACCTGGCACCCAGACCACTTCATTAAGCTGAAGTGGTCTGGGTGCCTAGAGTGGTCCTTTAAGCAATAAAGTGTTTTGTCTGCATTTCTTTTTGCCCTCTCTTATTACAGGGCTACCCTTACGTCGGTTTAGGCACACCACTACCGACTTGTTCCATTAATAAGTTATTACACGGCTTTTATGTCACCGACCACAATTATATATATATATATATATATATATATATATATAATTTATTTTTCATAATCTTTGCATTTTTGCTTGGCATTTTACAAATCTCATATGTGCCACTATGATCAAATAAACACAGGGAGTGTAGTGTGTTTGTGCCCTGGGTTATGGGTTGCAACATGGGGGAAGGGCATAGTGCCTGTTCTACGTGTGTGTGTAATCCCTACTCTTCTCTCATCCTCTTCCCCCTCCTTCCTCTTCTCTCCCACCTCCTCTTCTCTCCCATCGCCTAGCCAATAAGTAGGTCTGAGGCTGGGAAGGGCACAGTTTGGTAAGGGAAGAGGGAAAGAGAGAGAACAGAGCCTGGGAGTATAAGGGGGGAGGATGGAAAAGAGGAGAAGAAGAAGAAGAAGAAGAAAAATAACCACAAAACCTTGTGGTTGCGAGGGCTTAGGGACCATCACGGGTGAACAGTCCCATCTCTTAGGCATCTACCCCTGCAGCCGATCAGATTCCTTAATGTGCTGGTTATGAAACTCAGGCGACAGAGCTATAGCTAGCCATGATGTCCATATATCAGTGTATGCCTGGGCCTATCCTGTGTGGTGTGCCAGAGCTCCTCTAGAACTCTCAGTTCCTCCATCTTTGTGAACCATAGTGTCAGTGGTGGCATTGTGCCCCGTTTCCAATGCAGGGGTATCAGTAGTTTGGCAACGTTTAGTAAGCCAATGGTCATGGAGCGTTTGTATTGGATTGTGGGCGTGGTAGTATGGTGGAGAAGATGGGTGAAATGGTGGGGGTTAATCAGTAAACTTCTTAACAAAAGACGCAATGCGTTTCCAAAATCATGCCATTATTGGGCATTCCAGCACTTGCCATCCAAGTCAGGATGTATCTTCTGGAGGCACTCGAGTGTCATATACCTCCATGACAGGATTTTGTATGCAGTTCCTTGGGTCATTCTGGCTATTGCGCAGTGGTGTACTAGATCACATATCTTATGCAATTGTCATTATGCACATTTAATTAATTCAGTTTACTTATTTTAATGTATTTATATTCAATTTCAGTCTCTCTGTTTGCTATTACGTGAGTATACAGCTTGTGATTTGTTTTACTGTTATGTTTCACATTTTTCTATGCTGGCACGTATATGTTTGTTTATTTATTTTGTTTATTTATATATCCTCTGTTCTGCATGGATATGGTTATGGTAGATTTCCACCATGCATACATATTTCTGTAATTTGTGTTTAAGGTTACTTAGTGTCTACTGAGCTTCCTCTGTCACCAAATAATAAGAGCTGCTCGGTCAGCTTGATCATTCGTTACTGATTTTTCCTTTGTAACACGGAGGATAAAAAGGACATTGGTTTTAGATGTTCTTGTACTTCCTCCTTGCAACATTTTTGCTATTAGTATTTAGTATTTTTTGTGTGTTATTGCCTCGATATTTTGCAAGTCTTTTGATTTTGTACTGTTTATATGCTTGTGCTTGTGTGCATGTTTGTATCAAATACTTGTATGCTGTTATTGGCATGTTTCTATTGTGTTCTTCATTAATATTATCTGCATGTTTGCATTGTACAAATGTGCTCTCTCTTGTTGACAAGATTGTTATTGTACATAGATGCTCACATTTTTTTAAATACATGTTTAAACATTTGATATTACAATATTTTGTATTTATTTATTATCTACCAAAGACTATGCTGCACACAATATGGTGTGTTCAGATAAAGGCTGTTTATTATTACCAGGAACAGTTTTCTATTCAGAGTAAGGTCATATGTGTTTAGTTATAACGCGATCCCTATAGTATTTCTCTGATCTGTACAGTATGTAACAAACCATCTCTTTTACAGGTAGGATTGTCACAGATCTTGCAGTAACCACAGCCTTCTAGGGTATACAAAGTCCAGGACACATTCAGCTCGGTTTTCCTTTTTATTCAGTAAGGAAACAGGTGCTTTAAATAATAACAAAACAAACAAAATCCCTTGCTCTTACTTGAGCTCTTACTAGACAGGAATTACTATCTGCAATTGGGTGGCTTTCCCACTTACCAATTTTCCAAACAAAAGAAATGTCTTTGCAATAAACACAATTGCCTTTCACTCTCCTAGCTGTCTTTTTCTCCCTCACTCTGCAGCAGGCTGATCTCTTCTTTTAAAGGCCTGTCTACTAATTGACTAACTACAGGTGAGTGCCAATTAGTTAACTCTTAAATCAGATCTAAATTGTGGTCTGTTACACAGCAACTAGTGCTGTTGGAGCATTGGCCCACCCTGCTCTCCAAATACTCTGCCCCAGGGACCCATACCATGTTTTGCAGAGCATCAGCTATGCATATTGCAAACTTTAACATCTCTCCCTGGGGCATTTAACTGAAAATTCTCAGGTTGCTGTTTAACAAATCAGGTCTGATGTATCTCCCATCAACCACTATTCCACCTTTACGCTCACAAGTAGTACAGTTAGTAGGTTAAAGGCACTCCATGTAGGACTGTCACCCCTAGTGGTCATCTGTTTATATTGCAGTACAACTAGTGTGTGTGTGCGGGTTTTTTCTTTTGTTTATTTTTTCACAGTTTGAGAGGGGCTGTATGACGTGAGACGAAAGAAGAACATGTAAACCGCGCTTTTAAAAATATAAATAATACATACATATACTTGTAGGTAATTCCAATGAGTCTGAAATCTCGGAATAAATAAAATAAAATAAATAGTAGTGCAATACAGTAACAATAAATATTATGAGATAGTGATTGTAGCTTGTAGTTCAATCCACTCACATTTGTATGAGCTATAACAGAGCTCAGCTGTAGTGCACTTGGACGGTATAATCCCCGTTTTAGGATGTGATGTTCCAACTGGTCCAGATATTTCAAAGTGCAGTATGCGTACTAAAAAAAAGGAATAACAGCCAATAGTGAAGTAAGTACTATTAATGGAATTAATAGAAAATGGTAATGTATTTACAATTTTCAGAGCATGTAACTTGCTCTAGTATAGACAGCTTAGGTGGTATAATCCCCACCAAGGATATGCAGGATCCAGGAAGTAAAAAATGAATGGATATAAAAGTAACTAATTAAAAGTATACTTTAATATAAAACAAAACATGTTATAAGCATAAAATATGTAAAAGAAAGTCCACTTAACGCGTTTCGCCCGATAGGCTTCTTCAGAAGTGTGGTAAGAGCTTCCTCTAGGTTCCGTTTTTATATGGTCATAAATTTTCGAAAATACTTCCTGGTGTGCTTCTTCCAGGTTTCTTGGTTACCATGGAACGCACGCATCATACCGAAAGTGACGCGGTATACGCGACATACCGGAAATGACGCAGCGTCATGTATTTGATGCTGTATTAGTCTTGCGCCGCTCGTGGAACGCACGTACCCCTCAAAAAAGCGTGCGTTGCGTTCCAGGCGCTTACATAGAATATACAAGCCCCTAGATGATGGGCATGCCCATTTAGTATAAAGTAAAATAACGGCCATATTTGGTCTGGGCATAAAAGGAAAAGATAAGTTAGGAGCAAAAATCAATTATTTACTGGAAAATAAAATAAATAAGGAATAAGAACTTGATTTGATTGATGACTTGATTGTAAAAAAAAAAAAAAACAACAACAAAAAAAAGTATTATCGCAAGTGTTGCTGCTTTTTTTTTTTTTATAGAAGTTTTGAGGTTTGGGGCTCCTCTAAATATTATTATTATTATTATTATTATTATTATTATTGCCATTTATATAGCGCTAACAGATTCCATAGCGCTTTACAATATTATGAGAGGGGGGATGTAACTATAAATAGGACAATTACAAGAAATCTTACAGGAACAATAGGTTGAAGAGGACCCTGCTCAAACGAGCTTACAGTCTATATAGGAGGTGGGGTATAAAAAATATTAGGACAGGAAATATCAATCAAATAGGGTGGGAGTGGAGCAGAGCTGGAGGAGAGAGTAAAGCACTGCCCTATAGTGTGCAAGAGACAGGTATGTAAGGTAGAGGTTACTCTGGGAGGCCATAAGCTTTCCTACAGAGATGGGTTTTGAGTCCCTTCTTAAACAATTGAAGACTAGGGGAGAGTCTGGCAGAGTAGGCAGGCTATCCCATAGTAAAGGAGCCGCTCGCGAGAAGTCCTGCACGCGCGAGTTGGCCGTACGGATGCGAGCAGCAGTCAGGAGGTGGTCATGGGCAGAGCGGAGGAAATGAGGAGGGGCATACCTATGGATCTGTGAAGAGATATAAGAGGGGCTAGAATTCTTCAGTGCTTTAAATGTATGGGTTAGCACTTTGAATTGACTCCTATAGGATACAGGGAGCCAATGTAAGGACTGGCAGAGGGGAGAGGTGTGAGAGGACCGACTAGAGAGGAAAATCAGTCTGGCGGTGGCATTCATTACAGACTGTAGCAGGGCAATACAAATTTTGGTGAGCCCAATCAGGAGAGGGTTACAGTAATCTATGCGGGAAATTACTAGAGCATGGACAAGCTCGTTAGTAGCATCTTGTGTAAGAAAAGGGGCAGATGCGGGTTATGTTTTTAAGTTGGAACCTACAGGATTTGGCAACAAACTGGATGTGAGGCTCAAAGGTGAGGCCAGAGCCAAGTATGACGCCAAGACAGTGCGGTTGCAAGGATGGACTTATGTGGATATCACTGACTTGAAGGGAGAGTGAGAGAGGAGGATTAGTAGGAAAAGAAAAGACAAGGAGTTCAGTTTTAGAGAGATTGAGTTTCAGAAAGCGTGAGGACATCCAGTCAGAGATGGAAGAAAGGCAAGCAGTGACGCTTTGCAGGACGGCAGGGTAGAGGTCCAGGGAGGAGAGGTATATCTGAGTGTCATCAGCGTACAGGTGGTAGTGGAATGCAAAAGAGGCAATAGGTTTGCCAAGGGAGGCAGTATAAAGAGAAAATAGAAGGGGACCAAGGACAGGGCCTTGGGGAACTCCAACTGAGACAGGACGAGGGGAGGAGGCATCCTTGGAAAAGGAGACACTGAATGAGCGTTGGGAGAGATAAGAGGAAAACCATAAGAGAACAGAGTCACAGAGACCGAGCGATTGAAGAGTTTGAAGGAGGAGAGCATGATCAACAGTGTCAAAGGCAGCAGAGAGGTCAAGGAGAATTAATATGGAGTAGTACTAGTGACCTTTGGATTTAGCTGTGATTAGGTCATTAGTAACTGATAAGAGCAGTCTCAGTAGAGTGGAGAGGGCGGAAGTCAGACTGAAGAGGATCTAAGAGAGAGTTGGAATTGAGGAAGCAAGACACACGGGTAAAGACAAGTCTTTGTAAAAGCTTTGATGGGAAAGGGAGCAGGGATATAGGATGATAGTTAGAGGGGGAGGATGGGTCAAAAGATGGCTTTTTCAGGATAGGTACTACAGTGGCATGTTTAAGGTCAGCAGGAATAGTGCCAGAAGAGAGAGAGCAGTTGAATATGTGTGTTAGGGTAGGCACAAGACAAGGAGAGAGAGATCTGATTAGGTGAGATGGGACAGGATCGAGCCGGCAAGTGGTGGGGCGAGAGGAATTGAGAAGCGCAGCCACCTCTTGTTCAGTAGCCGGGGATAAAGTCTGAAGGGTAGGAAAGGCATGATTTATATGTGGTTGAGAAAGAGAACGGCAAGGAGGGGAGAATTGTTTCTTTAGTTGTTAATCTTGTCGGTAAAGGAGCATGCAAAGCTATCAGCTGTAAGGTTAGTTTTGGGGGTGGCCACAGCAGGGCAGAGAAGAGAATTAAAGGTGACAAAGAGACGTTTGGGATTGCGGGAGCATGAACTAATGAGAGAGGAAAAGTATGACTGTTTGGTGAGGGCAAGGGCTGTGCTGTATGAACGCAATATGAATCTATAATGGAGAAAGTTCCTCCAGGAGCATTCAGCACAACAGGAGCAACTCTACAGATAGCGTGTTGATTTAGTATGCCAAGGTTGGGGTTGTGTCCTCCTCGAAGGTGCATGTTTGGAGTGGGGCTGCAGTGTTCAAGGCTGAGGTGAGGCTAGTGTTATATGTGGAGATGGCCAGTGAGGGACAGAAGAGGGAAGGGATGGATAGCAGTTGTGAATCAATGTCAGCTGACAGCTGCTGGAGGTCAATAGAGTTAAGGTTCCTCCTGAGCTGAGGGGGGTTAGGCTGAGATTGTTGGGTGAGGGGGTAATTGAAAGCAAGAGGTGGTGAACAGAGAGAGGAAAAGGAGTGTTGCAGATATTAGATACTGTACATGAATAAGAGAAAATAAGGTCGAGCGTATTGCCAGCTACATGGGTGGGAGAATTAACCCACTGCAATAGTCCAAGGGAGGAAGTAATTGAAAGTAGTTTATAGGCTGCTGGGGTCAAAGGTAGGTTAATGGGAATATTGAAGTCTCTAAGAATTAGGGATGGAATGTTAGAAGAGAGGAAGTAGGGTAGTCAGGCAGCAAAGTGGTCAAGGAAGAGGAGAGGGGAACCGCAATGTTAGCAGAGAAAGGTTTGAAAAGGCAAAATGAATGAATTTCAAATGATGGGAAAGAAAGGGAAGGAGAGGGTGGGTAGGGTTTTAAAGGAGCAGTGGGGTGAGAGGAGAAAACCTACACTGCCACCTTTACTCTCTGCTTGTCTTGGATTGTGGGTAAAGTGAAGACCACCAAAGGACAGTGAGGCAGGGGTAACAGTATCAGAGGGAAAGAGACATGTTTCCATTAGTGCAAGTAGGTTTAGGGAGTGTGAGATAATTAGGTCATGGATGGAAGTAGATTTAAAGGTGCTGCACAAAGAGCGTGCATTCCAGAGGGCAGCTTTAAAGGAGGAATTATAGTGAGAATTACATGGAATGGATATTAGGTTGTTGTGGTTTCTGGTGTTTGTACCAGTTGGCTGAGTAGTAGAGGGACCAGGGTTTGGAGAGACATCACCAGCTACTAGGAGATGTAGGATTGAAAGGAAGAGAAGGTGGGAGTATGATTTAAATGTTGGGGACGAGAGCTCGTATTTAGGGGATTTAGGAGGGGTGTGTGGAGAAAGGCTGGATAAATATGAATAAAGTGTGTGTGATGAATACAGAGATGAGGGGAGCAGAGAGGGAGCAATGAAGATGGTGTCAGCAGGAACAGGTAAGTAAAATGACAGAGAGATTTTAATAATGAGGGAAGTAAGAAAGAAAGTGATAAATAGAAGTGAGAACATTAGTCTGAGAATATGTGCTGTGGTTAGGAGGGTTAGGGGTTAAAGAGGTATTGTGTGAGATTAGCTATTTTAGGTGTGAAGGGCTTGGTGGACATGATTGCTTTGACATGAAAACTAGTTAATTTGAGCATCTATAAAGTTAGTGATTACCATGGTGAGGGTGGGGTGTGGGGTAGGGTTGGTGGGTGGGAAGTGATCATCCAGAAATGCTACCTCTGCTTATGGCAAGTCCTGGGTGTAGCTGTTTCAATATTGTAAGGGGCCCAGGCTATAAAGAAGAGAATCTGGGTTTAGATAAGGCAGATTGTGGGTGGAGAATCATTTGGGGTGTTAAAAACTAAATCAAGGAAAAAGCAGATGAAAGGGATTTTAAATTTAAGGATATGAGGGAATGGCAGAGATAAGATAGGTTTGGACTGCAATAACTAGCACTAGCAAAACAAACATTTAACTAAACAAGAGTTAAGGATGGAGGGTGCAGTAGTCATAAATTAAGCAGTAATACTGTGGGGGGTGGAGAAAGAAAGAAATACAATTTAAAACAAAAATAGGAAAAAAAAAGAAGTCCAGGTATTCATCGAGATGATCATCCAGAAATGCTACCTCTGCTTATGGCAAGTCCTGCAGGGTTGTGTGCTGGGAGTCCTGGGTGTAGCTATTTCAATATTGTAAGGGACCCAGGATGATGCTGGGCTCGTTAGGGAAGGTATATTTAACACCACATCCACAAGCAGAATGTACCAATGTTTCCTTACAATGTTTTGTTATATACATTTTTGTTCTCAAAATCAAAAATGATAGGTGATAAAACATCAATCTCATTTTTGTTCTTTGATGTTAGAAGGTCTTTGTTCTGTTTTGTACTTTTTAATGTTTTGGTTGGAGTCCATGGCTAGGGTTACAGGCGTTGTCAAACTAATTTTTATTTAAAAATTGTGAGGATTGTTAATTTCTTTCTAAAAGTGAGCAGTTTCTCCTAATAAAGGTTGACTCTTGGGAACAGGGCCGGACTGGGAATTAAAAGCAGCCCTGGAAAAAAAATATTTACCAGCCCCATAATGCGTCGCGCCAGCATAGTGTGCAGATACAGAGTTAGAACAGATAACTTAAAAGTAAAAAGTACTTCAACGTAAAAAGCGCACTCATAGGCTTCAAAATAAACAAAAGTGCAGATTTATTTTAAGCAGACGTGCCTTTGCATGTAATCAATGTTTCAGTCCAACTACCTTGACATATTAAGGAGAGCTTGTTAATGGGACTGAAATGGTGAATGTATATAGGGCACAACTGTAAAAAATGTTTATTTTGAAGTCCTGTGGGTGTGCTCTTCACTTTAAATATGTTATTGTGCTGGAGTATGCACCTAGCAACAAGACTGGACCAATATCTGCTCATTACATATGGTACATATTAATGAAATTTCTCTGTGTATTATGCATTTATAAATGTACATTAATATGTGTAAATATAATAGGTATATATATATATATATATATATACCTAACTAATACACACATTAGTCATATTAGTCACATTGTCATATACTAGTGCCGGATCCAGAGCCTGAGCCTGAGAGGGGCACTTGTAGATTATTTAAAGAAATATTCCATGCACAATAACCACTACTCCTCTGTGTAGTGGTTATGGTGCCAGGAGCGTTTAAGAACAGTTTGACAACTTACCTGGAGTCTGCTGGGATATGGGGCTGTAGTAGGGTATAGGAGCAGTGGTGCAATGTGTGTGAAAGGTTCAGTGTGTGGGTGGGCAGTGTGTAAATGTGTATGGTGTGTGTGGGGGCAGTGTGTGAATGTATATGGTGTGTGTGTGTGGGGGGCAGTGTGTGTATGGGGCTAGAGTTCACTCCTACTACTGGGACCACCAGGAAGTGGTGAGAGTGAACTCTAGCCCGTAGCTCCAGGGCTAGAGTTCACCCTCGTGAGAGCCGAAGCGTTGCCCCAGGTCCTCTCGTCCTCCCCTGCCGACTGGCTGCACGGTGCCTGTGGAACATGGAGGGAGATCGGCCGGCAGGGGAAAGCCTTGGGGGGGGGGCCCGTTGCCCCCCCACCATCCACCAGTGATATATACTGCCCCTATGTGTGTCTCTTTATCTCCAGCCCCTCTGTGTGCCTTTTTGTATCCCCCAGTCATTCTGTATGTTTCTTTCTCCCCCTCACTCTCCCCATCTCTCTCCCTCCCCCCTTTCCCTGTGTCTCTCCCCATCTCTCTCCCTCCCCCCTTTCCCTGTATCTCTACCGATCTCTCTCCCTCCCCCCTTTCCCTGTGTCTCCCCTCCCATCTCTCTCCCTCCCCCCTTTCCCTGAGTCTCTCCCATCTCTCTCCTCCCCTTTCCTGTGTCTCTCCCCTCCTCCTCCCTTCCCTTTCTCTCTCCCATCTCTCTCCCTCCCCCCCTTTCCTGTGTCTCTCCCCATCTCCTATCCCCCCTTTCCTGTGTCTCTCCCCTCCTCTCCATCTCTCTCCCTCCCCCCCTTTCCCTGTGTCTCTTCCCATCTCTCCCTCCCCCTTTCCCTGTGTCTCTCCCCTCCTCCCTCTATTCCCCTCTCCCCCCCCCTTTACCTGGAGAAGTCAGGGGGCCGGCCGGGTTTCTGGCTGGAGCCGCCGGGCTGGGTGGCAGCTTCCCCGGTCCGGCGGCCCTGCTCCTGTCACTGCTGTGGCTGATGGAGGAGGAGCATGTCTCTGTACCATGCTCCCTCGCGGTTCCTGTGCCGGGAACCGCGAGAGAGCATGGTACTGAGACATGCTCCTCCTCCATCAGCCACAGAAGTGAGAGGAGTGCCGCCGGACCGGGGAAGCTGCCACCCAGCCCGGCGGCTCCAGCCAGGAACGCGGCCGGCCCACCGGGAAATTTCCCGATATCCCGGTTGGCCAGTCCAGCCCTGCTTGGGAATACAACTAAGCAAGGAGCCATAGACTAAATAAAGCCTCTTCCGGGAAAAAAATGGGAGGGTTTACAAAGACTGCAGTTCACAAAAATTGCAGCCTTTGCCATAAGCTCTTTTAAGATATACTCCCAATGAATACATGCATGAAAATTCATGGAACCGCAACCGGAGCTCGCTTACGCTACCAGAAGCTGCTCGTCTGGCGGATGAGTATACAGACATCCGTAAAACGGACCAACCCTTGGCAAAGTCCGCCCCATGCACGAAGTTAGTCTCCGGGATCTCCAACCAACCCCAACCTCCGGATAGAGGACCCCCCAGGCATCAACCAGCTCCACCAAAGACAGAACCTCGGTACTTCCGATGCCAACAACTAGGACACGTCAGGAGCAACTGTCCCCTAGAACCACCTAGACCACCGTGGGGGCGTACCAACCCGGTACCACCCAGGGCCACAGCTCACTGCCTAGAAGAGTCTACACCCAAGGAATCCTGAAGGGTGTTACACGATGCCGACCTTGTACAGGTTGCCTGAGTAGACAACAGACAGAAACATCGACAACTGGTTGTGGTAAACGGACAGACCGTTAGAGGGCTGAGAGAAATCGTAGCTGCCCTGTCCTTGGTGCAACGCCACTGAGTTCGAGACAACAAGCATACGGGTCCAACAGTGGCTGTTAGGGTAGCTTTGGGAGTAACACATCGCCTACCCACTGTCCGCGTTCATATTGATTGAGGAGATGGTTCCGGTACCGTGAACATAGGGATTATGACGGATTTAACAGCGGAAGTCTTGCTTGGGAATGATTTAGAACCCCTTACTTCAGCCTACATCACTAAGGAACAAGCTAAAGCTCAACCTGTTACTACACATCTTCAAGCCGGGGCTTTGGAGGCTGACTCACGTCTTGAGGAGACCCAGGTAAGAGATGACCCCCAACTTTGACATTAAATTTGGCCCAGTTTGCTAGGGACACCCTAGAGGAGTTTGGGAGGGAGGCCCGGGAAGGCCCCACCCTCCAGAAATATAGGGCCTGGGCAGACACTGAGAAATGGGGCTTAAAGATGGAAAGGTTTATTTGGGAACAGTACCGGTTAAATAGGATAACCGAGATGCATACTTGAGGGGCAGCCCCATCCCAGAAGCAGTAGTAGGTAATACCAAGGAAATATCGGTTGGAACACGATGTACCTTTAGGAGGACATCTGGGCATATGCCGGACATCTCATAAAGTGACCAAGAACTATTTTTGGCCAGGAATCTCTAGGGATGTTCGATAGTACTGCCAAACCTGTTACACTTGCCAGAGAATAGGTAAGAACAGAGACCACCCCAAAGCTCGGCTGCAGTCCAATGCTGATCATTGAGGAGCCTTGCAGTCGACCTAATCGGACCCCTAGTTAGACCCTCTGGTAAGAGATACATACTTACCGTATGCTATCACAAAGCAATTGCGCTCATTAATATACAAGCAGAGACAGTAGCCCTGGTCCGAATATTTTCTCGGGGAGAGTTTTCCCAAGGAGATCCTATCAGACTAGGGTACTCAATTCATAGCAGACATTACCCATCAGCTGTAGAAGGTATGTGGAATAAAACCCATACTAAGCTCCCTCTAGCATCCCCATAGGCTGGATTAACCCATAGGTTAACATAGCAGTTTCTCTGAAACTGCTATTTTTACAGCAAAAAGGGTTAGACCTAGCTGGACCAGGCACCCAGACCACTTCATTATGCTGAAGTGGTCTGGGTGCCTATAGTGGTCCTTTAATCCAAACAAAGATTAAGATGACCAGGTTATGACACTACACTGATGAAGATGTTTTCACATGAGAACAGTCTATAATTTACTGAACATGACTGTAGCGGAGTAGAGGTATAATCCACGATATCTCCGCTGGCAGTGGTAGTCAGCATGAAAAATACAAGTAGCGTGATAAGTACAATCCTCTTTTCCCAAGAACTGAACGACACAGTTTCTGAGTAAACTGAGCTTTTATTGCACCACAGCTGGTTTTATTCAAATCCCCATGCAAGGGGTTTCCTTAATGACATTCCAGGGGTTTTCCCCTGGTGGATTCTGTGGAAAACTTAGTGTACAATAATATTTCCCATCATGCTTTTCTGTACTGGAGAGATAATTGCGTAAGAGTACACCTTTAATTACATTATCGCTCTGTACAGAAAATTTATACAATATAACACAAAAATACATAACTTGAGAAACATGCATCTGAACTTCCCGAAAGCGCACAATCTGACCAAATACCACCCAGATCCGTTCGTTGGAATAGAAAAGCCATTCGAATGAAGTTATGGACCGGTCAGCCATGAGGCGCGAGCCCCAAAATAGTTCCAGGTAATTGTAGGCTTTTACCGGTCTTCTTTTGGGAGTTCCTGTGAATGAACAGTCGAACATATACATGAATGTACGGGTTAGTTGGGTATGGGAAGTTCATGGGGTTTATTCCACCGAACGCCGCTCTATTTTGACAAATGGATATATCCATACGAACGGCATGGAAGTCCAGCGGTGTTCGCAAGGTCAAGTAGCCAATTCTAGTTCCATGCACTCAACGACCAAACACTGCTGGGCGTTCGTGAGCAAAGATGGCCGCCGCCACGTGTTCGGTTATACGAACGGCGACCACCCATTAAATCATTAGAGTTCTGCGGTTTCCCCAATGCTCCCACTTGTTAATTAAAGACATGTGACTCTCTTGTGTGGTCTCCCATTTGGCAGTTTATTTGTTTTACGAACAATATATCCCAATTCTTTTCATGAAACTGGCTTACAAATGCCCATAGTCTTTACAGGGGGAAATAAATGAATGGACCCAATCTTTTGTACAATGAAGTGGCTAGTTTTGCCACAATGACCTAACTGAAACTCTAGAGTATAATTATTTGTATTTATTAAGCCTTTGCGGTCCAATAACTTTTCACTAAGTGCGTCAGCAGGTCTTTTCTAGGAAATCATGTTGTTCCCGAATTGGAGATCGCATGCGCAAAAAGTCCCGCGACCTCCTGGTGTCATGCAAAGCAACCTGTGCTTGCGTTTCACTTCCAGGTTCAAACTCCTCCTCCTACAGTTCTAGTGCGAAGCACCTACTTCAGGGGACAATGTGAGCCCGCTGCTCAGCAAGACTGTCCCCCTCCTCTATTTTTGGTGAAATGCACACCACGCTCCTGCGTTCAACCTTTTTATACCGCCAATCCTCTGTGCCAGGTGCCAGAAAAGGCAAAGGTGGAGGGGCAAAATGGGGGACAGACCTGCTGCGCAACCAGCTCACCTTGTCCCGTAGAAGTAAGTTCTTCACATTTGGACTACAGGATAAGGAGTTTTGGAAACTTCCTTTTCAGAGGCTGGAAACCAATGGGCCAAGGTGGAAAGGTGTCTGATTACCTCCTCCCGACTTCTCTGTGTCTCAGTTCCCTCCCCCTCAGCCCCTCCATATGTTTCATTCCCTCCACCTCAGCCCCTCCATATGTTTCATTCCCTCCCCCCAACCCCTCCATGTCAGACCTCAATCCGCTCGGCCACACTTCACACGGAGGCACGAGGTGAGCAGCAAAGCGTTCTTCAGCCTTCTCCTGCAAGCCTTCCCTAGGCATTATCAAATCAGAGGCTTCTCACGGAGACCATGTTTAAGGACAAAATTCTTAATGAGCCATAGTGTCTCTCATTGAGATGTATTTCAAAGGCAGGTGCTTTGCTCAAGTGCCTTCTTTTGCGTTTAGCTCCGTGGAGCTGTTCATCCAGGAAGTAATGCCTCCTTTCCATCTGACCGTCAGTAAGTTGTTTTTAGCGTTCATTTATAAAAGTGTTGATTTCTATTGAATTAAGAACTTTTTTTTTTTTTAAATGAAACAAGGGGACAAACTCTACACAAATGTATTTAACATGTTCCTTTTAATGCTGTAATTTCAGAAATTTTAGTCATTTAAACCGTATGCACGGCTGAGGCCAGATTGACTCATTTGGAGCATTATCTGTAAGCTTCTGTTGACAAAATTGTCACTCTGTGTTTTCAAATTATTTATGTAAAATTTCTCAATTGACTAAAACAAATTCTTATCTACAAAACCATATTAATTGTGTTTAAAATTTGGTTTTTTTTTTTTACCAGGGGAGACCATTACAAAGGGGAGTCCTGTAATTGCAGGGAGTCCTGTCACTGCGGGGAGTCCTACCACTGCGGGGAGTCCTACCACTACGGGGAGTCCTGTCATTGTGGGGAATTCTACCACTGCCTGGAATTTTACCACTGCGGAGAGTCCTTTCACTGCTAAAAATGTGGTCATCAAAGTGATTGCCATTGTGATTATTTTCATCATAGGGATACTGTTATTGGTAAGTAGTTTTATCCCATTGAAGACTGTAAACAGTGTGAATATTCTTCAAGGTTGCTGCAGAATTACTCCATTCACCTAAGGTGCAAAAAAGAGTGAAGCAAAAAGTAAAATACTTTAATGTTTGCAAATAGCTTCAGGTGCACATATCATCCCAAAGTAGATTCATTTGTAAAAGCTGTAAAACAGCAGCAGTTAGTAGATTATATAAACTTGTGCAAATTGTTTCATTCATGGTATTCATGCATTAAACTACCCTTAAAGGGACAATGTAGGCAGTGTAACTGTATCATCCCATTGAAGTGTCTATTTTATCTGGTGTCCCTGGTGTTGTCCTTCCATTCAGTGTTAAACCGTTTTTAGTGGTTTAATACTATATGAGAGTCCCCAATATCTTGAGCAGCAATTGGTGGCTGTGATTGGCTGAAAGTGTCAGCTGACCCCTTTCAGTCAATCGCAGTCACAATTGCTGGTATGAATTGGTATGCTTAAAAGGCAGTGTGTAATCTCTGTCTTGGCCATACTTCCAGAAGGGGCTGGGCTGTGGGTGGCCGGGGAACCCTAATTTAGTGTTAAATTGCTTGAAAATTAGTCCTTTGTCAATTAAATGAGATGAAATGGTTATTGTGCCTATAGGGTCTCTTTTTAAACCCTTGCTGTGAAATAATATTTAGCTGAGAAATCTTAGACACTCCATTTGAGATTGCATACTGGGGACTTGTTCAAACTGAGAAACATTCAAAGATGAGATTTTTTTTAAAAAATTTTTTTTTAATGTAGCTTTATATTTATTTTGAATATCTTTTTAATACATTATCTAAACGTAAATGAACACTCCAGTCACAATAACAACTAAATGAAGTTGTTATGGTGCCAGTAGGTGCACTCTTACCTTAAGGGGTTAAACTTTCTCAAACAGTTTAACTCCAAAGGCTGCCCTCCAGCACCGATCTGCTTCTCCCCAGGTGCCATCTGGCTTCTGAAATTCAGTTTCAGGGAGCACAGAGTGCTGTTGGCCAGGGGTGCCGCTGATTGGCTTAGAGTAGTCAGCTGATGCTCCAAGCCAATCAGTAGCTCCCCATTGCTATAAAAGAGACATACGTTTTATATCAATGGGGAGCTACTGATTGCCTAAGAGCCTAGGGCTGGCTGCTGTTAATTTTAGTCCTGTCCTAAGGACTAATAATTGTACAAATAAACTATTTGGAACTAATGTGGCATGTTGTTTAACTTCTTCCTTTTTCATCCTCTTGCTATCTTCTGTAGTGTGGAAAACGGCTACTGAAACTGTGTAACCAAACTCAAGAGGCTGAACCAAAAGAAACTGAACAGATGGAGGTACAACATACAGAGCCCAGACTGTTAAGAAACACACAACTAATAATATATCAAAGCAGAATACAGGGCAATGTTAGTAGGAGTATATAAAACAAGAGATCAGAAAGAGACAAATTATCTCTGTGCTAAACTGCAAGGATGAGTTCCTACAAACAAAACTCTGAACATGGCAACATTAGTTGGTATTCAGTAAACCTTAATAAGGATGTATAGAAAGTGTGATAGAGTTGTATGCAAAGAAAAGAAGTAAAATGTAAAGGAAGGAGAAAAGATATTAAAGATTACCAGAGATTGTAGGACAAGAAATAAGGGACTACGAGGGGATCCAGTAGTGGGACGTGACAAAATTCTATGGGAAAACACCAATGGCCTGTGTCAAGCACACACAGCCAGTGAAGGATGCATTTTTTTCATAGTGAACATAAATGTGACAAAACTAAAAATTATGTTTGGCATCCAACACAGTCTAAAGTATGCAGATAAAATCAGTTCATTATGCCATCATGACAAAGTCCAAGGACGTAAGATAAATTTTTTGTGAATTGTGGGACCTCTTAAAACTGTGAATAAAGAAAGCATCAGTCCTCCTAGTTATAGTCCTAAAACAAAAAAAAAGTCAGCAGGCCAAATCACTCCATACGCGAAACGACAGAAAAAAAACCCCTGAAAGATCCTCCAAACAGGTCCTAATTCTCCCAAGGCAGATCTAGCTTAGCTCCTACTTGGGCAGTAAGGATACTGGAGAACACTATTGCACCCCAACATAATACCAACATCTCATAGAGCCTCACTGACTGCTGTCTCACCAGATTGCTCCAAAGGTTCTCTGGAAAAGGCTCACCACTTTCTGTGAGGCTTCAAGAGTCTGAGAAGGGCAACAAGATGTATAGAAGAGCCAAATTTTCAAGTTTAAATCCACTATGTCGGGGGGAGGGGTGTCAGCGGTAACCCCCACCATTCCAGAGAGGGAAGGAAGCAATACAGTGCAGAGCCCATTAGTAGGCCACACATTCCACTCCATAGAGCATAGTCCCATAAACCGTAACCAATCTCCGATAAAACCTAGCTGGCATTGTGTATGTTCAGTGTAGGTAAGTGCATGGAAGTGAGCAGAATGCAGTGTAGAACTTATTAGTATTATGGCTGTTAGAGCATTATGTGAGATGTAGTCCACAACATCTGGAGTTCCAAAGGTTGCCTACACCTGGCTTATAGAAAAGTTCCCAATTTTAGTTTTCCCCTCTTTTTCTTGCAGTGTGGTCTCCGATATAATAGTGATGACGCAGAACATAAACGCATAGTCCGCAATGGATCATTAAACAACAATATATATGAAAATGTATTGTCTATAATGCAAACAATCAATATTTTTTTTTCTTGTTTAAAAAACATATAAAGATACATCAACTAAAATATAATGTTGTGTGCCAATAGGCATGTATAGAATAATAAAACAACCCGGAATAAACTCAGATATGCATTAGAAAGCAATATAGTGATGCAGTCTTACTTTTCTTCAGATTTGATAGTTAGAGCTTTAACCCCTTAAGGACACATGACGTGTGTGACATGTCATGATTCCCATTTATTCCAGAAGTTTGGTCCTTAAGGGGTTAAATACGAAGCCAAAAGTATCTCCTGAATTAGTAACTGATTTATTTTTTGCATGTTATTGGTGGTATTGGTATCTATCCCTCATTTATTTAGATCACGTCTATCACACTGCTGTGGACTATTTACATAGCAAAGTATTCTGAAACGTGACACCTAATTTCCATCATTATTGATTGATTTATGGTCACTGATTGATTTATAAGTAATCTAAAAAATAATACGCATTTTTGCAGAAATATCCACTTTAGAAAACTGCCAAGTTTAAATTGTTGGAAAAAAAAATTGAAAGTGAAACTGAACACATGTTTTTCTGTCTGGAAAAAACACAGCAGACTTCTGTCTACTTTTCATTAACCCCTTAAGGACACATGACATGTGTGACATGTCATGATTCCATTTTATTCCAGAAGCTTGGTCCTTAAGGGGTTAAACATGTTTGCTCAATTTATTAAGGTGTTGGTGACACTTTGATAAATCTCCCACCCCCAATATTTCTAATCTGCAGATTGATGAAGCTTTATTTACCTTCTATTGCAGCACATTATATATTTCTTTACGGTATTGACTGTCTTATAGAATATAGTGACTACTTGCAGAAAGGGAATGATATGCTAGATGTGTTCCATAACAATGAGTCATATAGAGACATCTATATGTTATGTATTTATTCCTCATCACAGGTACCAACTGATGAAGCAAACTTGCAGAACAGTGTAAGCAACGTTTAACTTAAACTTGATCCTGAGAAAATAGTTCCTGACGTATGCAAATGAAGAATCCAAGTGGGAAATTGCAATGGGAATATTTTGGCAGCATTAAACAAAAGTGCCCCTAGCTTCGCAAATCTCTTTCTAGGATGGTCGGAGCAGCGTGTCACCTGTTCTCCTGCCTACACCAAATACCAACAGAAGATATCACACTTTTTTTTTTTAAACTGTCTCCTACGGCACTACTTCATTATTAGAAATCACCAATTGATATAAGTATTCTTATATACTATAATAATCACCTTATTATTTCTCAATTCAGGAGACTACCCATGACTATACACCTATTCATATTACAAATCTTTATATTTAAATTTAGCCTATTTACACCAAATACTACAACTAAAAGTTACGTTTTAAAGAAGCCGTGAGTGCAGCCAACCATTACTACTATTTGGATACTGGAGCCTCGGTGATGCACCCAGCCATATAACTGAAGCATGAGTGCAAGGAACATTTGTTTTTTTATAAATATATATATATATATATATATATATATATATATATATATACATAATTACATAAATAATTTTATAAATATACACGTAGACTTCAAATATATAAATATGCATATATATTTAAATTCTACGTGCAAATCTATGTCATATTTTTACATTATCAAGTAATTTTATTGATTGCCATTTGAGGGACCTGCCTGACAACCCAGGCCGAAAGTCCAGAGAATTTAATTTGCTAGCACTGTATTTAACCCTGAAACTTTTTATGACATCCTAAAACCTGTACATGGGGGGTACTGCTTTACTCAGGAGACTTCACTGAACACCAATATTAATGTTTCAAAACAGTAAAACATATCACAGTGATTATATTGTCAGTGAAAGTGACTTTGTTTGCATTTTTCAAAGAAAATTGTAATGTGTATGCAAAAAAA